GGACTGGGTGAGCTCGAAGGGCTCGCTGGATGCCGCGTTGGATTCGCCCGCGATGGGATCTAGCTAGGCGGAGACAGCATGCAATCTTTTCTTGTCGTGATGCAGCCACCGTTCGATACATCTCTTGCTTGCATTGCTGACCTGCTGCGACCATGCATGCCTTGACCTCTAGGAGACGCTCTGTGGGGTCGGTGCTGAAGTCCTGTCCGTTGGCGAGCTCTTCAAAGATGCTGGCGCGCGACTGGCGCTTAAATACCCAGGCCGGCAGGGACACTTCACCATTCGGCTTCCAAGGTTTGAGGGAGAGATAGACGGGGACATGGTCCGAGGGAAAATAATAATCAGCGACATTCCACTGTCTGGAACCGAGGGGGTTGTGGTCGAGGAGGTCGGCGGTGGGAATATTCGTATAGATGCGGTCAAGACGGGCATGGGTGGCGGAAGAGGTAGGAGTAGTCGTGATACGCCGATGGGTGAAGGAGTCCTGCTCGAGCTCTGCGAACTCGCTAAAGATAGCCCTGGGGGCTCCTGCAAGCCTGGGCGGAGAGATGCGCTCAACCCCGCTAGAGGCATATCACCTACTTTCCCCAAGCTCGAGACAGTTGAAATCCCCAAGGATGAAAGAAGAAGAGGATGCAGACGAGGGGAGGGCACGACGAACAGAGCCAAACTGGGCTCGAGTCCAGGGTTCGGGAAGGTCGGGGGCAATTTGAACATTGACTATGCTTGGGGCCCCCCGGGGTCCTGGGAGCTGGAGAAGAGCAACGCGGCCAGACACAATATCACGAAATGCATATTGGCTGAACTGCCGCTGAAGCCGCAGAAAGATAAAGATGAGAAGGCCTCCAGCATTCGCGGGTGGCTCGAACGAGCCGAAGATGGCGTGCTGCTTAAAGTCCCGCTTGAGACGGAGGAGGTCACCCTCGGTACCGCGGGCCCCTTGCACTGCTAGTATATCGTTGTGTTGAAGGAGAGAATGGAGGATATGAATTTTATGTCGAACGAGACGCTGGTTAGAATAAGCAGAACCAATAAGAGCCTGAGAGTTCCAAGTGGTGATCTTGAAGGGATCTTTCGGGAAGTACGGCTGGGAGGAGGAGGGCTGAAAGCTAGACGGCTCCCCCCCTGAATTCGGCGACAAGGCGGGGGGGGGGGGTCCCGAGGAAGGAGAGGGGGCGGGAGTCAACAGAGGCTCGCCATACTCACTGAAAGCTTCGGAGATCTGCAGCGGCAGCGAAGGTGTGGCAGCATGCGGGGGGGGAGGAGCAGCGCCCCACGCGCTCCTCCTCCACTAGGAAGACGTCAAAACCAATGCCCTCTAGGGAGTCGCTCCTGGCTGGAGCGTCGGCCTGCAAAAACAACCATCACAGGTCGTCGAGCACCCCCTGGATCTGGTCGGGTGTGATGCCCCAGGTCGTCAACGAGGCCTGGTTGGGTTCGAAAGTGAACTGGTCCCCTGAGGCCTGCTTCGCCGACGCGAGCTCGTAGACGTCGCAATTGGAAATGACCTGCAATGCACCCTTGTGGCCGTTGGCCCCGAGCTTGCACGAGGCATCCCACAGCGGGCTCTTCATCGCGAGCTGCTTGGCGGAGACGTAGATGCTAAAGAAGGCCCGCTTCTTCTGACGGACGTGGAGAGGAAGATCTCCCCGAATTCGAAGAGGATGAATACTTTGATCGCGAAAGTCCTGCCAGGAGATGCCAACCATGTTCGCCTTCCGCTGGAACTCCATGGCTGAGTCCTCAGTCTTGAACTTGAGTTTGTACACCTGCGAAATGCCGTGGAATTGGACCTCGACAGCGTTCTCATCGCCTAATTCCTTGGGGGATGTGGCCGTCAACTGCTCAAAATGCGCCTGGCCGCTTTTGAGCAGCAGCGGGCGTGGGAAAGTTCCAACATATTTAACCCTCGGGTCGCCCTGCTCGAAGTCATTGGTTAAGTCGATGGCGGACGTATCAACCCGTCGGCTCTTCGTCCCAGACTGCAAGAAAGAACGAATTGAGGAGCCACCTGAAGCCGTGCTTGGAGTAGAACTGCGCCTCGACTCAAGTTTCAGAAGACGTTCTTCCTGTCGTGAGACTTGTTCACGAAGCGCCGTAAGCTCAGCGCCCTGAGCGGTGAGTTGCCCTTGGATCCCTGCCGTCGACGTCTGAATCTCGGCGCGGAGGGTGGCCGTCTGCGCTTCCATGAGTTCCTGCATCATCTTCTTCATAGCGATCTCTGCCATGGCTGGGCACTTGACTGCAGGGTCGCCGCGAACGGCACGAGAAAAAAACGCAAGATGGTGCAAGAATGAAGCCTGCGGGGTCGCCTGTCGACCCCTGAAGCGCGGCTCGAGCCCCGCCCCTTGGCTATGTCCAAGGCTCAACCGCGAGGCGGCACGGTTCAACCTTGAGCCAATGGCTACGGAGGGAGGAGGGAGAGGGAGGAGGAGCAGGAAGGTCAGAGCGTGAACATTCGAGGAAATCCTAAGCGAAAGCGCCGTTCCTGAAGGAAGTCTCGGGCGTGAGCCCACGACGGGCGGGCGATCCCTTGACGGGCGGGTCGGGCGTGTGGGACATTCAAGCGGGATGCCTGACTATGGCGAGAGCGCGATTACTAAGTAAATTGTAGCGGCGTCCTTGGCGCAGCGTGTTTCCTGAGCGTCGGAAGCGCGATGTCTGAATAAATTGCATGGGGGTCACAGGCGAAAGCTCAATTCCTGAATAATATGTGAGGGGTTCTCTGGCGTGAGCGCGGATCTTGATTAAATTACGAGGAAGTCTTGACTCAATTGCGAGGAAGTCTCAAGCGGGAACGCCGTTCCTGAGTAAATTGTAAGGAAATCTCAGATGGGAGCGGGGGTCCTGACTAAATTGCGAAGCGACCACAGGCGGGAGCACCGATCCTGAGTAAATTGTGAAGTCTCAGGAGCGGGGGTCTTGAGTAAATTTGGAGGAAGCCTCAGGCGGGAGCCGTTGTTTCTGTAATCCGGGGGGCCAGGGGCTCAGTTTGAGCACGAAGACTTTCCGTGTCAAAAGACAGGGTGCGAGCGTCGAGGGCTTCGTGGGCTCTGGAAACGGCAGGGCGTTTTTTTACTGGTTCCGTTTTGCAGTTTTTCGCCGGTTCCGACGCCGTTTTTTTACTGGTTCCGTCGCCGTTTTTTGACCGCTTCCGTCTCCGGTTCCAATCCTGGAGCTGTTTTTTTGCCGTTTCCGGTCGCGTTTTTTTTGCCGCGTTTTTTTTTTGCCGTTCCCTTTTTCAAAGGCAGTTTTTTGGAAACGGTGAAAAAACGGCCCTGCCGTTTCGGCGGCCCACAAAGGTCGACGGGCACACTTTGATTGAGAAAAGAACAGTATGCACCGGTGATGGGGGGATCAACAGTAATGATTCTTCAGAAGTGAAAATTCAACAACAACAGCAACGACAACAATAATAACAACAACAACAACTATAACGACGCTCCCGGGCGATACCCCCTCACAATTTACTCCGAGAGGCCCTGGCCAGAGAGGGCCGGCCCAAGCCTCAGGACTGACAGTGTAGCATTAAACACGGTCCTTCAGAACCAGGTTGCTGCTACTCGCGGATGCCGGCACGGCCTCTTCGCTTGAGACTTCTGCGACTTAACACCTCAAAGGGGTCCTTCAAAACATGTTTGCTGCTACTCTCTGGATTGCTGGAACGGCCGTTTCGCTTGAGCCTTACACGCGATTCAACTGTACAAGGGGATCCGTCAGAGCAGTCTTTCCACTATTTGCGGAGGCCCCAAGAGGTGTCAGGACGCTCAGGATTCGGGGACAGTTTTCGGCCCTCCTGCCCCCAGGAGGCCCCAGGAGGCATTTCCTGTATTCGGATATGTGCTCGGGGAGAGCTTTCCAGCCCCTCCGCTTCCAGGAAGCGCCGGGAGGCACTTTTTCTGTACTTGGAGGTGGTTGGGGAGCGTTGCTTGGGCATTCCCGCCCCCCGGAGGCCCCAGAGGACGCTTTTGTGGATCGGGATCACTGCGTGTTCGGGGAGCTCTTTCTGGCCCCCTTGGAGGCTTTCTGTCTTAGCATCTGTGTTCGGGGGATGATTCGGAGCTTCCCAAGAGCTGTGCCCTCCAAGGCTTCGCCGCCCGTCTCCTGGGGCCCGATCTCTTTGTGGTCTACGTGCGTTCCTAGAAATGACCCCTCTCCTGGGGCTCGAGCCCTGTGTGTTTTAAATCTGTTCCTACCTATTCCCTTCGACGGGGGCCTCGGATCCTCTGAGTGCTTCACGCATGTTCCTACACATTGCCCTTCTCCAAGGGCTCGAGCCCTTAACGTTTTGAATCCTCACCGCTCCCCACAGCCGCACTGTTTTTTATATGTCGTGCGAGTTGAAAGTGGGAACGTGCCTCGGAGGAGGCGTTGGCTCGACCTCCTTAGGCGGGACGTGTTGGTGTGGGAATATCGTCCCCCCCGCAATTTATACAGGACTCGCGCGGCACTTCCTGGCAATGTATTGCCGCGCCGTGCCCGCAACACTCAGTCAGGAATCACGTTCTCCTCGTCTAGGATTTTCTGACGATCTACCCAGGAATCGAACTATCGCTCGAAACTTCCTTGCGATGCAAAATGGATTGACGCTTCAGCGACCCGCCCGCTCGACCCGGCTGAATGACATCCACCCCAAGGGAGGGGGAGGCCCCTTCCCTCCCTGTGTCACGGGCGACGCTGTCCAGTGGCTCGGCCTGATATCCATAGCATAACATAGTCCCCGCAACTCGTTGGCTTAGTTTGTTGTTCGTCCTGTGTCGCCTCGGCTTCGCCTCCGATCCTGGACTGTCTTCCTCCGGCCCTTTCGTCGCGGCCGTAATGCTTCGGCTGGGCCTTGTACGCCCTGGAGCCCCGAAACGTTCTGTGCTCGATCGCGCTCATCTCTTCTTTTCCTTCCGTTCTCATCCGTCCCCCATCCGACGCGGCGCGTCGCTCCATGGGCTCGCGACTCCCTTGCACTCCTCCTCCTCCTCCTCCTCCTCCCTGCCCATGCCCTCCTCCTTCCAGGTATGATGAATGTGAAGAAGAAAAAGAAAATGAGGATGACGCTGCTCGAGGCTCCCTCTTCGTACGGCACGGGCTTCTATGAATGTGCCTCGTACGTGCGATGCAGAACCGTAACTCTAGAGCTCTGGTCGGCAAGCGCTGCTGGTCCGTGGCCGAGTCCGGCCTGGACAAACGCAAGACCCCGCGCGGCACGGGCAGAATGAACACATTGCAATTCAAAGCATCGCCTGAAAACCCAGTCTACGTTCTGACCCGTTTGGACGGTGCTGCGTCGGCATCGGCGCATTCGCCCGCAACCACGCGGGCATGAACGTCAGCGTATCGCTTGCACTCACGGTGGTAGTCTGGGAAACCGACCAAGCGATGCACATCCTTGTTGGCCATGAGCGCCGGCGTGCTGGTGCATTCCTCGGGGGCCACAGGCGCGACCTGTTGGTCGTTGTCCCCCTCCCCGTCGCGCAGGCGCCTACACCACTGGTACATGGCACCAATGGACGCATTGAGCATCAACAAGGGGTAGACAGCTACTTTCGAAGAAAGAATAACGGCATCAACATAAACCTTTCGGAGGTACGCGCGGATTCCTTGGATCTGCGCTGGACCCCCTCCTTGGCGCGCGGTGCGCGCCAGGGGCGGCGCCTGAGACGCCGTCAGGAGGGTCCGGCGCCGATCCCAGAAATCCGCGCGGAGCTCCGAGTGTGTATGCTTATGCAGCTGTTCCTTACGCGATATCTTATACCCCATCTCGGCAACTTTCTCCTTGCGGAGCTGGGGGGTCTTTGACCACTCTACCAGGTTGACCATCTTGTGGACCCCAGGCAGCGCCTCGCTGTCTGCGCGCATGTCGTCTTCCGAGAGCGGGGCCTCCAGGAAGACCACGTCCGCGCCCATCTCCTTGAACGCCTTCCCTCTCTTGATGGCCTCGGCTTGGCCCATGATGCGGGCGTCGGTGCGGGCGAGTACGAGGGGCCCACGAGCGCCCATCTCGCTCCTGGCGTCCACCGCCGCCTGCACCCGCGCGCAGGCATCCCCGAAGGGCACCACCTGCTTGCCCTCCGTGTGGCCGCACTGCTTCGGGGCGACCTGGTCCTCGATCATCACGCACGCCGCCCCGGAGTTCGCGAAGCCCTTGATCGTCCTCTTCACCTGCACGGGGCCTCCGTAGCCCGTGTCCCCGTCGACGATGAGTAGGGCATTGGGTACGGCCAAGCGGATGCGCGCCACGTGCGCCGCCATCTCCGCGAACCCGAGCATGTCGGCGTCCGGCAGGCCCAGGAGAGAGGCCGTCGCGTAGAAGCCGCTGACGAAGAGGACCGGGAACCCCAGTTCCACGTGCGCGATGCGGGCCGACAGCGGGTCGCCCACGCCGGGGACGGTCACGCAGCCGTCGGCCGCCAGCAAAGCTCTTAGCCGCTCTGGCGGCGATCCGCCGTCTGTGGGGAGCGGAGCTGTGTCGCTCATTGGCGCAGCGGCGGCGTCGGCAGTCCAAGGAGCCGAGCGGTTGGGAAGGGGAGAGCGGGAGCAGCGAAGGGTTAAAAGAAAGCGCGGCCGAGCGCACGGCTTGAGCCAAAATTGCTGCGGCGGAGGGCAGGAGGGAGGACAATGATGAGGAGGATTGGGAGGAGGACCAGCGTCCGGAGCAGGAGAGAGAACGAGGGACAGAGCGAGAGAGAGAGAGAGAGAGACGGAAAACAGAGATATATACATATAATAAAACGCGAGCTTAAAACATATGGTGCTCTGAAGCGGTTCAAGATTGACAGGGCGCAGCAACTACGTTGATTCGCGGTGTTGAAGTCCCAAGAACGGTGCTCTGGCACGATGCAGGATCGTCCTGACGCAACAGTCAAGCTGCTTCGTTGCGTTGAAGTCCCGATAATGGTGTTCTGGCACGCTTCAGGATCTTCAAACGGTAGTCTCCCAACATGGTACTTCCCTCAGCGGAAATGAACTCGTGTAGAGGCCTATGACGAGGGAGCTTGGAGGGAGGACTTAGTATTCCAACATCGTCGATGAGTCTTGGGTTTGCACTGGTCCTCCTCCTCCTCCTGATCCTCCTGGTCCTCCTGGTCCTCCTCTTCCACCTCCTCCTCCTCCTCCTTCTCCTCCTCCTCCTCCTCTCGCTGCCACGGGGCGCGCTGCGGATGGTAACACACAGTGCGCCAAGGAAGGGCTGGACCAACTGCCCCAGCTGGGCAGCGCCCGGCGCCCTTGGATCTGAGCGCGTTGACTCACTTGGGCGACAATGAGAAACAGGTCATGCGCGAGATGGCATTGCGACCTTCCGCCGCAACTTATGCTGGCCGCCAGCGCGGCACACCGCGTGGGGAATGAGAGCGCCGAAGACAACCTTTATGCGGGAATCTTACGCACGAATGTCGGCGCAAAGGCGATAATGATGTCATGATGAGATTGGCACAATATGCGTTCCATGAGTTCCAGAGCATCTAGCGGCGCAGCCTGTTCGGAACGTTGGGACTTCTGGGACATCCGGGGAACCTTGGAAGCCCTGGGACGTATCAGCATCATCATCATCATCAGCAGCATCACCATCATCATCATCATCATCATCATCATCATCATCATCAGCAGCAGCAGCAGCATCAGCATCAGCATCAGCATCATCACCATGACCATGACCATGACCATGACCATGACCAGCACCAGCACCATCACCATCACCAGCACCAACACCACCATCACCATCATCATCATCATCAGCATCATCATCATCGTCAGCATCGTCAGCATCATCATCATCATCATCATCATCAGCATCAGCATCAGCATCAGCATCAGCATCAGCATCAGCATCAGCATCAGCATCAGCATCAGCATCATCATCCTCATCCTCATCCTCATCCTCATCATCATCATCATCATCATCATCATCATCATCATCACCATCATCATCATCATCATCATCGTCAGCATCATCAGCAGCATCATCATCATCACCATCATCACCATCATCATTACCTCTTCTCAGGCAGGCCGCGGAGCGACAGCTCGTGGCGCCAGTATCGGCGTTCCGACGCCCGCCCGCCCCGTCGGGCTCGCAGTCGGGCACCACGCGCGGAGGGCGGCAGGGTTGGCGGGACGGAGAGACGCCCAGCCACGGCTGCCAGCAGCAAGCCGAGCGGTGTGGTGCGGCTTTTTTATTTGGGGGGGGGGGTCAATTGGCCGACCAGGTTGACGTCACCACACCGTGTTCATACCAAGTTTAGCCGCGAAGGTCGTCTCGATCGGTGTGGTGCGGCTGGCCCGAGGGAGAAGCACAAGAGGGGCGGAGAGCACAGCGTGCAGATCATCATGCCCTCCTGCTCCTCTGACCGCTGGCATCTAGCAGCGCAACCGGTGGGTGCCGAACTTTTGAAGGAGCCCACTAGGCCCTTTCCATTTATTTGTGCATCCCTGGGCCTGGCCCAGGGGTGCACAAATAAATAGACACACATATCCCTGGATTCCCCGTTGGTTCGTGCATTTTGTAGATGTTTCTCTCCCCCCCCCACTTCCCACAATTTCCGTTTCTTCTTCCGAATCGGCGATGATTTGTGCTTGTGTGTTTCCTCCTCCGGCACATTCGGAAGTGTGGGAAATCCGGGGAACCTTTAGAATCCTGGAAAGTACCATCTTTACAGTCGGGGTGTTGACCTAAGGAACGATAAACAAGGAACGAGGCCCCTTTTCCCCATATAATAAACTAGAACCACGCGCGCGCTTCGCGCGCGCTTAGGTTCTGTCGAGTCACAGACCCAGGAACCGTTGTGAGAAGAAATTGGTGACGCGAAGCGTCGTGGGGGCGTCCTTGGACGTCTGGGGTCTCCTGGGGCCTCTTGAGGGGCCTCCTGGGGGCCTCCTGGCGGCCTCTTGGGGCGGAAGGCTCGAGCTTGCGGTTCGTGGTCCCCCTCTGGGCCCCCTCTTGGGCCCGTCTTGGGGCCCTCTTGGGCCATCTTGGGCGCCTCTTGGGCCGTCTTGGGGCCCTCTTGGGCTGTCCTTGGGCCTCCTTTGGGCCTCTTGGGGGTCTCCTGGGGCCTCTTGAGGGGCCTCCTGATGGCCTCCTGGCGGCCTCTTGGGGCGGAAGGCTCGAGCTTGCGGTTCGTGGTCCCCCTCTGGGCCCCCTCTTGGGCCCGTCTTGGGGCCCTCTTGGGCCATCTTGGGCGCCTCTTGGGCCGTCTTGGGGCCCTCTTGGGCTGTCCTGGGGCCCTCTTGGAAGCTTCTTGGGCCGTCTTGGGGCGGTCTTGGGCGCCTCTTGGGCCGTCCTGTAACGTCGGAAAGCCCAAAAGACAACTTTGTTGAAAATGTACGTTTTACGAGGGGAATGTGCCAATTTTTGCATCTAGGGGCCCTCTTGGGACGCATGTTGGAGGCTTCTTGGGGCCTCTTGGGGGCGTCCTTGGACGTCTGGGGTCTCCTGGGGCCTCTTGAGGGGCCTCCTGGGGGCCTCCTGGCGGCCTCTTGGGGCGGAAGGCTCGAGCTTGCGGTTCGTGGTCCCCCTCTGGGCCCCCTCTTGGGCCCGTCTTGGGGCCCTCTTGGGCCATCTTGGGCGCCTCTTGGGCCGTCTTGGGGCCCTCTTGGGCTGTCCTGGGGCCCTCTGGGAAACTTCTTGGGCCGTCTTGGGGCGGTCTTGGGCGCCTCTTGGGCCGTCCTGTAACGTCGGAAAGCCCAAAAGGCGACTTTGTTAAAAATGTACGTTTTACGAAGGGAATGGGCCAATTCTTGCGTCTAGGGGCCCTCTTGGGACGCATGTTGGAGGCTTCTTGGAGCCTCTTGGGGGCGTCCTTGGACGTCTGGGGTCTCCTGGGGCCTCTTGAGGGGCCTCCTGGGGGCCTCCTGGCGGCCTCTTGGGGCGGAAGGCTCGAGCTTGCGGTTCGTGGTCCCCCTCTGGGCCCCCTCTTGGGCCCGTCTTGGGGCCCTCTTGGGCCATCTTGGGCGCCTCTTGGGCCGTTTTGGGGCCCTCTTGGGCTGTCCTGGGGCACTCTTGGGAGCTTCTTGGGCCGTCTTGGGGCGGTCTTGGGCGCCTCTTGGGCCGTCCTGTAATGTCGGAAAGCCCAAAAGGCAACTTTGTGAAAAATGTACGTTTTACGAAGGGAATGGGCCAATTTTTGCGTCTAGGGGCCCTCTTGGGACGCATGTTGGAGGCTTCTTGGGGCGTCTTGGGGGGCGTCCTTGGACGTCTGGAGGCCATCTTCAGCATCTCGGAGCCCTCTTGGAGGCCTCTTGGAAGTTTCTTGGGCCGTCTTGGGCGTTTCTGGGGCCGTCTTGTCTGACCGGGGAGGCCTCCGGCAAGCCCCGACGAGCCTCCGGGCCCCCCGGGGTGCACATTTGCGGTCGAGGTCCCGGCCCCGGGCCCCCGGACCCGGTGCGCCGTTATATGTATACTCCGAGCACTGTAAAGCAACTAAGGAACACGGAGCCCCTCCCCAACAAAAAGGGTTCCGTCGTCAGGGCCCCGACTGTATGACCCCTTGCCCCCCTGCGCACTCGCACTCCCGCCGCTTGCCGCCTCCCGCGGGCCCTCCGCCGACGGCGAGGCTGAGCCGAAGGCGAGGCCTCGTCCTGGAGCGCCCCGGCTGCCCGGGCTGCCAGCCGCGCGAGCAGCGGCAGCAGCAGCAGCAGCAGCAGCGCCAACAGCGGCAGCAGCGGCAGCGGCAGCCGCAGCAGCAGCACCGTGAGGCGCCGCCGTCGCGCTGCCAGGGGGAGCGCAGCAGAAGGAACGAGAGGGGCCCTCCTGGCCACGGCGAGCCTCGGCCACGAATAGGGTACCACGACCTGGATCTAAAAGGAACGGCCCGACCACCGGAGCCCCTCTTGGAGCCCAGCATGGCTCTCTTACTTCAGCCCCGTGACTGCACCCCGGAGAGCGTTCTCCTGGGACCCTGGGGCCCCTCCCCCCCGGCCGCGGGGGCCTCGTGGCCGTGGCCTCGTGTCTCAGGGTCCGCAGCAGCTCCAGCGCGGACTCGTCGTCGATCTCGTTGTGGGAGAGGTGCAGCTCGTGGACGGGGCCAGCGCGCCTCCCCCGCGAAGGGGGGGGGTCCTAGATCTCCGGCGATACGGTCACGAACGTTTGCGTAAACGCTGTGCCTTGCAGGCGGATGGCGTTCGCTCCGCTCGGCGGGGCGGGGCGCTCGGGACAGCTCGGGACGTTGACGCTTGGGAATGGGAACGTGGACAGCGTGTCGCGCCGATGCGCAGGGGGCCAGAACCCGCGGAGCGACACGCTAAGCAAAACTCCTGACTGGATGTTCTGCTCAACCCTGCAGTTTTCCTCAATTTCGGCCTCTGGGGCGCGTTGTCGGGCCCCAGGGCTCCAAGAAATGGATCTGACACGAAAAACTGGCCCTGGGGACGCGGTCGAGGAGCGCCAAGGCTGGCGCGCCTCGCCTTTGGCGGCTGCCGCGTCGTCGGGGAGCACTCGAGGAGCTTCGGGGGTCGAAGTTCCAGTGCCGAAGTCTTCGGTCGTCGGGCACCCTTTCTGAGCCTCTGGGGGGTTCTCATCACCAAGGCCGGATCCGCCTCGAAATTCTGGGCAGAGCACTCCCCGGTGGGAGGAGGGGCATCGTAAGGCACAGCGTTC